TATTATTAATTTAAGCTAATATTATCTTATTAATTAATATTAAAAAAGCAATCTTCTAGATAATTAGGTAATTATAATAACTTAAAATAGCTAGATTAATAATAAAATTAATCTTAAATAGCTAAAGTACTTTAATTAATATATAGCTAATTAATTAATTAATATTTATTATCTTTTAATTTTTAATAACTATAAAAATTACCAATCTATTAAATTTAAAAGATATTATAAAAAGAATAAAATTATTAGATTTTATATACTATCTTATTTATCTTATTTATTTTAACCTCTTAATATTAATTACTTTAGGCTATTTAAAAAGGCCTATAATTAAAAATAAAATATTTAATTAGATATTTTATAACTTATATTTTCAAAATTAAGTTCTTCCCAGCTTTTTATACTATATTTTAAGCTATTATAATAAAAAGAAATATTAAAATAGCTTTTAAAAAAACTAGACTTATTCCTCTTAACTTAAAAGATATAATCTTAAAGCTTAATATATAGCTATAAATTTTAATACTTATTAAGAAAAGAGCTAAATTCTCTATATCTTAAGTTTTAAAAACTCTAAAAATTATATTTAAGACTAGATCTTAATTAGTATAAAAGGTTATAAGGTAGTAGGAGAATAAAATTAAATAATAAATAAAAGAATATTCTTATAAAGAATATAAAGATAAGAAATAAAATAAGAAATAAGGGATAATAGTATATAAGATAGTATAATATAGTATATATTATTAATATATATATATATAAAAAAGAGAAAATAAACTCTAGAGGAAGCTCTTCTTTTATAAACAAATTCAGCTGGTAAATATATAAGTATAAAGATAAAAGTAATACTATTAAAAAGCCTAGAAATTCAGCTTTAAGATAGTACTGAATATATCTTTCTAGATTCTCTAATTGCTAAGTAATATTAATTTCAAATTATAGAGAAATTAAAAGTAAATACTTATAAATCAAAATACTTAATTTCTAAGCTTAAATAAATTAATAAGCTAATTTAGATAAATTAGTTATACAGTATAAATAATACTATTAGTACTGTATTTTAATATTATATTATAAGATTTTTCCTAGAATATTTAAGCTTATATTTAAGCTTGAATTTTAACTATTAAAATTTATATAATATACTTAATAAGCAAGTAAGCCAGATAAGTAAATAAGCAAAAAATCCCTTAACCTACATTATCTCTATTTAATTAATTAATTCTTAACTACCTAGTATATTATAGTTTAATTATAAAGCTAGAATACTTCTTACCCTTCAAGCCCTTTAAAATAACCCAAATATATATATCCAACATACTATAAAGATATATATAATTAATTATTATACTCTAGGTTGCTAGTAAAAGAGTATCTAGTCTTAATATAATACTATTTAGAAATTATATTAGCTATCTAATCTAGAGAAATAAATTTTTATTTATTTTATTCTTAACTTAAATTTATAAGAATTTTCCTTATAGCTATATAATATAAAAGAAATAGCTAATTAATTACTTATTAATTATAATATACTATTAGTTGGTATATATTAAGCTTATAATTTTATTAAGTAGTATTTAAACTTTAAGATATATTTCTTTTATAAATATAATTATTAAAAAGCTAAATATAAAAACCTAATAATTATCTATAATTAATTTTAGCTTATAGGGAATATAATTATAAAGTATAATATCTAATTAAATAATTTCTATAACTTTAATAAAATTAGCTTTCTTATAAATATAATTATAAGTAAAATAGTTATTATAAGTTTAAAAAGGTATTTAAAGCTAAAATTAATATAATTTAGAAACTAAAAATAAATTATAATTATTTAAGTAATTAATATAAAAAGCTAGATAATCTAGCTATTTATCATTAATATAAATTAATATTATTTTACTAATTAATATTAAAAAAGTAATCTTTTAAATAATTAAATTATTATAATAACTTAAAATAGCTAGATTAATAATAAAATTAATTTAAAGTAGCTAAAATACTTTAATTAGTATATAGCTAAATAATTAAATAATTATTATTATCTCTTAATTTTTAATAATTATAAAAATTATTACTTTATTAAATTTAAAAGATATTATAAAAAAAATAAAATTATCTAGCTTTATATATTATCTTATTCTTTTTATTTACTCTAGCCTCTTAATATTAAGTACTTTAATATATTAAAAAAAACTTATAATTAAAAAATAAAATATCTAATTAAATATTCTATAACTTATATTTCTAAGATTGAGTTCTTTCTAATCTTCTATACTATATATAAGGCTATTATAATAAAAAGAAATATTAAGAGAGCTTTTAAAGAAACTAAGCTTATTCCTCTTAACCTAGAAACTATAATCTCAAAGCTTAATATTCAGCTACAGACGCTAACGCCAGTTAAGAAGGCAGCTAAACTGTCGACTCCTTAAGCTTTAAGAACTCTAAAGACTCTAATTAAAGCCAGATCTCAATCTAAATACCTCAAAAGGCAGATCAGAAAGTATCAGAATAGCTCTCCAGAGTCAATTTTAAAGGCTCTATAATCTCTTATAAAGAAACAAAAACTATTATATATAAGGTTATCTTATTAACTACTAAGAATAAAGACCTTTAAGAGGCAAATAAGATACTAAGCTAGTACTAGAGGGTAAAAAGAACTAAATTATAGAAAAGAGAAGTTATAACAGTAGAAAAAGAAAGATAAGTAATTAATTAAATAGATATAGATATGCAGGTAGTAGCTGAATTATTAAGGAGTAGTAGTTAAGAAAGGTTAGTTGAATTAGATATTTAATACTATAGTATATATAGTAAGTTTGGCTATAATATAAGAATTTATTAGGTAGTAATTGAGATATCTAGGGAAGAGTAGAGTAAGTAATTTTAATTAATTAAATAGTTTATAGTATTTTTATTGTAATTTTTATTTAGAGGGGTAAGAGAAAGTAGCTTATTTACTTATTTAACTTACTTGCTTATTAAGTATATTAATTATAAATTATATATTTATTAAATTTTAATAATTAAAATATCTTAAAAGATAAATTAAAAGATATTAAAGTAACTTTTTAAGATTAATTTTTAAAGTTTTATAATTTCTTATAAAAAAAATAAAAGTTATTATATATAAAATTGCCTTATTAAGAGCTAAGATAAAAAATCTTTAAGAGGTAAATAAGATACTAAGCTAATATTAAAGAGTAAAAAAAACTAGATTATAAAAAAAAGAGGTTATAATAGTAGAAGAAGAAAGGCAAGTAATTAATTAAATAAATATTAATATATAAGTAGTAGCTAAATTATTAAGAAGTAGTAGTTAAGGAAGATTAGTATAACTAAATATTTAGTATTATAGTATTTATAGCAAGCTTGGCTATAATATAAGAACCTATTATATAATAATTAAGATGTTTGGAAAAGAGTATATAAGTAGTTTTAATTAATTAAATAATTTATAGTATTTTTATTATACTTCTAGTTCTAGAGGTTGGGATTTTTATTATATATACTTATTTATTGTTAAAGACTAAATAAATATATAAATATATATCTTTAACCTTAAGAATTAAATCTTAATTAATTCTATAAATAAATATAATACATTATTAATAGTATTATTTATACTATATAAATAGCATTAAAATACAGTATAAATACAGTATTAATAGTACTATTTATACTATATAAATAGCACTAAAATACAGTATAAATACAGTATTAATTATACTATTTATACTATATAGAAAAGATAATAGCCCCACTTATACTTAGAATCATTTTTAATTCCAAATTATTTTAACTTACAATCCGGATGCTTCGGAAAGTATAAGTATTTTAGGTACAAAGATTATACTAGAAAAAGGCTGCTTCTTTAGGCTTTTTTATGGTATACAATATGTCTCTATATCTTTGATAATTTCAAATTAAACCACCTTTAATTTCAAAGTAGAGACTTGATTTCAAAGCAGAATTACTCAGAATCCTCTACACATTAGATGACAATAATAGTACTACTAAAAAGCCGCTTTTTTGGGCTTTTTAATAGTATACTTATTGTCTAGCTACAATAGCTAGATTTTGAGAAATTGTCTATAAAAAGCTAGAGACCCTCTGGTAAATTCTGAACTTTTATATATTATTATCATCAGTACAATATACACTATTATACACTATTATACACTATTTTACACTATTATCCCTTATCTCTTATCTTATCCCTTATCTATATATCCTTTATAAGAATATTCTTTTATCTATAATTTATTCTATTCTTCTACTGCTATATAACCTCCAATATTTATTATGCAAGCTATATATATATATGATCTTTTTAAGGAAAAATCTATAAATTCTCAGAAAAATAATATATAATTACTTTATTATAATAAATATATTAATAAAATCTTATTAATTTTTATAAAAAATTAATACTTTTTATAAGAAGGCTGAAAGTAGCTCTTTATATGAGATTTTAAGATAGCCAGCTTGCTTATCCAGCTAGCTCGCTTATTATATACGTTATCTTGTTTATTTTTTTCATTTATTTACTTTGTTATCACCAACTCACGCCTTTACAGCATAATGCCACCAAATAGTTCTGTCTATAAAACCTAGGCTGGTCAAAGACGGTCTCCAGATCATGGTGTTCGGCCCCTTCCCTGACCCGGGAGGGCCTGCTCAAGGCTTAGAAAGGGTTAGCCCCAACCGAAGAATTCTCAAACTCCTGGACGAGACGAGAGGCTTACTAGAATCCAGTGCACCTCCGGCCTGGCCCAGCTCTCTCGTAGTAATAAACACGTTCCATTCATCAACACCCATGTGCTTGATTGAGGTTTTTCTTGGGAATAAATAACATGAATCTGCGCGACAGGTTAGCATAGAGCTCAAGGAATGGGTTAAGGACCCAACCGGAGAGAAGTCAACTTGACAAGCTGCCCACATCCTCCAGCTTCTAGGGTACTACCTCCACAAGATCGGGCGGTCTTTCACGTCTTCGCTGGGTATGAAGCTACGCTGTTCCTCAGGGCATACGGGAACATCCACCAGCAGGAATTCCGAACCCAGAATCCGCCTGTCCAGGATGGCACAGCACCAGTGTTCTTAACAGACAACCTGCCAATGATCCGAGTGGATGGATCCGAGCCACTCGAGTCCCAGCGTTGAGCCGGTCCCAGCAAGGGGACATCGTTCATTGCGCGGTCCAGCAAGGAGATCGGAATCCCGTCTCGCAGAAATACGGAGCTAACCCCCATTGCTACGAGTCCTGGAGCTGAAGGGAGCCTCACTGAGCGTTTGGTAGGCATGATGCAGGACTGCTTCTCACTCGCAGTCACGGGGACACATTTCCTGATCCTTGGACACGTGTGTCAAATATCAGGTGCGTTGGGGCGTTGAGGCGACTTACATGGAGCTCATATAGTTCACATATAATGGATGGGAAGAAGAACGGGAATGGAACGAATGCTCACTTTTAAACAACTACGAACTGGGAAAGTACACGAGCCAAGGCAGGTCGCCGGCTGGTCATGGAATCCTTGGTCATCGTGTACTTCTTGAAGAACCTCGGATCTGTTGAAGGCGGTGAAAGAATCGTCGCTTTCCTTCCTCACCCATTAAGCTTTGCGGCCATTCAGGCACTAGGTCATCTAGAGCAAATCCCGGTATCCTCCGAGTCCATGAGCCGCGTCTCGTTCAGGATAGCCTAGGCCGGCCAATCGACGGCTGCGGGTATGATGAGCGGCGCTGCCACTATCACAGCCCCGTGGTGTTGAGGCTTGGACACGGAATCATCCGAAGCTTCTGCCTCCAACCCGAGTTTGGGTATCGGGGCTACCTGGATCCTCCGCCAGCAGACTGAGACTGCGCTAAGACCAGCCTCACCACCGTAATCGTCTGATATGGAGCAGCCGACTCTCCATCTGGACTCCCGTTTTTGTCACTAATTTTGGGTGGGTCGTGGTGGACCGCGCACGAAGTGCCGTCCCCTCGTCAAGCTTCTCTGCCCCCCCCCCTGCAAGTGGATATTTGACTACCTAGTGGCATCCATCTGGGGAATGCTATAGCTCAGACGGTTACTAGTAGTAAGATGCTTATTTAGACCACACTTAACAAATCTAGAAATCTCCCAAAGTACTGAGACTCCAGCAACCCCAGAGACAGTTGCTGTCATCACCCTGGAGAAAGCACTCCTTATCAGACGATTCAGACCAAGTTCGAGCCCCTGATCAACGCTTGATTATGCCTTTCTCCCTTGGTGGAAATTGGGTGGAAATTGGTTTGTAATCTCTGATTGTGGCGACAACCGTGTTTGGTCAGGCCCCTTAGCGACGATTCGGAGGCGTCCTCCCCAACGAATCATACCCCTGTTCCTTCCGCACATTGTACTCTTGGACCTGGCGTTCTATATTGAAATTGAGCCCCAGCCACAACGGTATGATGGCGGAACATCCCGTGTTGCGAAGACAACTCTTGACGATTTACCACTCACCTTGCGTTAATGCTGCTTCTGTGAGGCTTTGACGTATTTAGTGGAAGATCCGCACCTGTTCGCGAGTTCAATCAATTCTCCCTTTCCTTCTGCAACACCTCGCCTCGTCACCAGCAGGCATCTCACTTTAGTTCCTGAACATCCCGAAACCAGCCAAAAATGCGTTTCACTATTTCATGTATTTTGGCATCAGTTGCCACTCTTGCATTCCTGTCAAGCTCTGCTTTCGCACAGGGGGATGGCGATACCATGAACGACATTGACACTCTTTGCTCCGTCAACTTCTTCGAATCCAACATCAAAGCCATCGTCTGCATCCGCAGTGGCACCGACACGCAGCTCACGACTTCTTCTACATCGTATCTGTCGGGCAACAAGGATCACCTGTGCTGCAAGGCGGATAACATCTGCATGCTTTCTAACACCACCGTTCCGGAGGTTGCCTGTTATGATCCTACGTAAGTCACCCTGCGCAGGCCCGCTCGGCACTAATCCCATGTCGTGACTTGCATTGAACAAGAAGGCCACTGCTGACGTTGAGCGACATAGTGAAAAGACGGCCAATACTTTTTTCGACAGTGGTCCCTGCAAGCTCTCTAGCTCTGGTGACGGTTGCGCGTGGACTGGTATAAACCGCGGGGTTAGCTTCTCTACGGATGGCGTGACGAAGATTACGAGTGTTGAGGATGGTAAGGGTGTGACCGACAGCGGAAGCGGAAGCGGAAGCGGGAACGGGAGGGGAGAATCTTCATCTGCCAGTGTTGTATCAGGCAGCTACATTGGCATCCTCGCCATAGGTGCGTTGATACTGTTCTAGAGTGGATGGAAGTGCTTTCAAGTCAAATTTCCCCAGGCTTCCGAGCGACAACCTCGATAATATCCTTAAGAACTCGATCTGCGTGTGTCAAATACAAACCTAAGCGTCGTTAGCCTCCTAGTCTGGATGTCACGTATTGTGTAGCTGATGGTAAGACTCACCATGACCCGCATTCTCATACACTCTCAAATCCGTCCATGGCAGAATCTCCTTAATCACCTGCCCGCTTGATTCCAGCGACATTCCCGTATCCGCGTGGCCATGAAGCACCATGATGGGTGTTTTCTCTGCTCCGGTCGACTCCCCGAATCGCTTCAGCTTGGTGACCAAATCGTCCCAAAAGATGTCCGGCATCCGCACCAAAGCGACAGGGTCCGCTTGACACACCAGCCTCTCGTAGAACCATAGCACCCTCTCCTGGAACTCGTTGCCGGCCAGGTCCAACCGGAAGACGCTGCCCAGCTGTTCGGCAGCGAAGGCCTTGGCCCCCGGCCCCCCCCAACCCGGCCGAGAGAAAGTCCCAGACTTCAGGGAGCGGGGCCGCGGGGCACGCATCGCAACGGATGTTGTAGGGCATGTTGGGGCCTATCCAGACGAAGGCGCGGCAGTTGGCGCGGACGTACGCGGATGAGAGGTACGTGAAGACGGACTCGGGGCAGCCCATACTCGCTGCGACGAAGGCGAAGGGGCCAATATCGAGGCCGGCCAGGAGGGCGCTCAAGTCACCTGTCAGTGTCTCCCAGGACACGGCTGTGCTTCTGGGTGTCGATGGGTCGTGAGCACTGCCTGACGCTGGAGTCGGAGATACCGGACCGGCGTTCCAGTCGCTATTGCCGAATCCCCGTCGGTCCGGGGCGAGGACGCGGAAACCGTGGACCTGGACGAGAGGCATGAAGAAGTGGTCCCACATCCGGGAGGACATGGGCCAGCCGTGGAGGAGCACCAGTGTGAGGGGTTGGGCAGGGTCTGAGGCCGAGAGGAGGGGTTCGTAGTAGCGGTAGTAGAGCGAAGTGCCGTCAACGGGGCTCTTGAACGTGGGCATGTTGGCGTTAAAGTCGGTGTCAGAGTCGTTGGATCTTCAGATTGAAGCTTAAAATAGGTATGTAGTAGAGGTGCTTGGCCTTGATATTCTCGGAGTATAAGATGCTGTGTCTAGAGAAGCGGAATACACGCATCCTGAACCGGGTCCTTGATCTTATATCTCCATCCATCCTTACAACTTGAGTATAGTACCATCACAAGACTTGGACAGTTTACTACTTTCACCTTTAACAAGCGTTATGCCTATGCATTATGCCCATATCCTGCAACCATGACAGTATAATAAGACTACATTGACCAAGCATATTAGCATAAATGCGAAATACCATGCCTCGAATTTTCATTCGCTAAAGCACCGATTAGGGTTGTCCTGGTCCAAATCGAGATGTAAGCCCCGCCTCCTCCCGGCTCGTCTCAACTCCGTCCTCCGCCTCTTAGCAGCTCCCAATGCCTTGCCACCATTATTTCCTGCGGCTGACCCGATAGAGCATCCGATTAGATGCTTTCCTACTAGGAGATATAAGCCTCAGATCAATCCGACCACATACGCGTAGTCTGGTGCGGCTTCGGGCCGACCAAGCAAGACGCCTGTGCGACGCTTTTCTGTGCACCCTCTTAAGGAATAGCAGATGATTTGGGTGTTGGCCATTGTCCCTTTCTGCCGCTAAATTAATTAGCGTAACTCCTACAGGTAGAGCCTTTACAATCAGCCAGATATAAAGGATCTAGAGCTATCTTCTTAAGTATGGGATTCTAAAATAGATATTATCTAGCGGCATTAAATAGAATCTTAATGAGATTGTAGAACTAGCTGTAGAGGAGGCCTTTAAGAACCTTACAGCTCTTGTGTGTAGGTATAATAGTTATATTAACTGCATTACGTATTGTAATCTATAGGTATTCAGCTTGGCGGAGGGAGGCGATGTTAGATTTAACCAGCTCGGTTCAGGCCTCTCTGGGGTCTCCATGGGAGAGTGGAAATTGTTAGCCCACGGCCGCCTGTGGCGGCTGTGGCCTCAGGCAGCCGGGCCCCGTACAGCCCCTAATTCCCTTGCCTTAGCCAGCTAGTTACACATCATCAATACATACATCTTTGACCTCTCAACACTTCTTAATGGTCTAGACCTCGCTTCACAACCGTGAGTAGAGACGAATGTGGGGCTAGGCGAGCTGATTCCCAGCATTAGACCGGCCTCGACCGCCGGTGGTGGGCTGAAAGAAGGAGCAGGGGCCGGGAAGTGATCGACAGTTTGCCGCTAGTGACGCAGGTTCAGCCCATCAATCGTAACACCACGAAAAATAACCCCGAAAAAAAGCAAAGACAAGAGAAGGGGCCAGCGCGACACACAACAAAAGTGTAGGCAAGTGACAGAGGTGGGTACGAGATAGAGGAAGAGGGAAAAGTCAAAACTCACTCGCATTGGCGGACATCCTTGTCTCCTCCACTTTCCTCCACTCATCAATCCTAGTATGTACTAAGAAGCTTGACGAGGAAAAGAATTAGCAACAACGATGCACTGTCACGGCCTGGTTCACCGGACATTGGATAGGCTTATAATAGCTGTTGGCGTACCCAGTAATTGCAATCAATGCGATTATTGACTAATCTTTTGCCCTATGGTGTCACGGGCTGGGGCCCGGTATAGGGGCACGGGCTACGCCGTGCCGGTCCCGACCTGGCGTAGCCCGTGCCCCTAGGCGACATTGACCTTCCCTTCTGCCAGCTACCACCGCTCTGCAAGCGAGAGCTCTGCTCTATAGCTATGACTTCCCTAGAGCTAGCCCCTTCTCTCCTTCCTGCTCTTTAGTCTTAGACCAATCTACCGCACCCTTTCGTTGAACAAACTCAGGGCCAGCCCTTCACAGATGCCCATCCATTCATACCCTTCTGATCACTTCATCTACCCATTTTCTATCCACTATCACCATGGATGCCCTGTTCAACCGCGAATTTAAGTCCTACTAGGCAGCCCTTGCCGCTGCTCGTTTGGTGGGCAAGGAGCAGGGTTTTGGACTCAATATTCATCAAAAACGACCAAATGCCACCAATCTAACGAGGATTTCTATCTATTGCAATAAAGCCTGAACCCATATCCTACAACTGATCTAAGTGATAATGAGCTAGCATAGTGATCTTAAATAGGATAATAGATATATGTATTAATTATATTATAATACCTCTGATAATAAGGGTGCATTATGACTGTATGTATTGACAGCGTTGTATGTGTTGATGGTGTTGACGGCATTGTGATAGCTTCAAATTCGGGTTGTTGTATGTTATTCCTTGTTGCCGTTACGAGGTCTGAGACCCTGACTCAATTCGAGACCCTTGGTCATACGCTATTCCATTTCTATCACCTAAAAATATATGGCCGGCCTGGAATCTGACCGCGGAGGGCGTCAGCCACATCCTGCTGGCCACCTATCTATCGTAGCTTGATGCCCAGACCGTCCCTTCCTAAATCGTGGGGGTTTAATTTGGTTTCTGATATTGTGAACGGCCTCTAGTAACTGTATTCTAGCTATCTAGTCTAGGATGCTATTTACATCAAAGATGAAGAAGAAAGAAAGAAGTTCTCAAGTGCCCCTGAGCTGTGGACCGATTTCTCATCCCTGGCGCGCACGAGCCTAGTACGTCTTGCGGCACAGCCGCAAGGATATGGGCCCTGGTCCGTGACAGATATAATGTTTATTGTTTAAGAATGGTAGCTGCGAAATGTATATATGTTGTTGAATGGGATCCTATCAACTACTCTACAGCTGTTCGTCCCTCCAATTCACGACAACAATCAAACACTATCAAGGAAAAAGAAATAGACCAACTCTGTGTTGGCAGAGGATTAACGGGGGGTATAAAAGAACAATGACCTTTCCCAGCCTTCCTTTACAAGCCTTCCCTCATGATGACCGCGAGTTGTCTGGCAATTCCCACCGCTGAGTTGACTGATCTTGGGCTGTGTGCCTGTAAACGGGGGGAGGGCTCTGAGATTGCTCAGGCAGCTCGGGTGGTCGGCCCTCTCCGGAAACCTCTACGCGCGGGCTCGCTCCGTCCATCTCAGGGCGCCAGGTATTGTCGCCATTGACCTCGTGGTGCCCTGCGACCACGACCGGGGGATTCGGCGTCACGTTGGGGAAGGGGTGGATCTCCTGGCCGTCAATTTCACGCTTGAGGCCCTCGCTGGAGAGTTCGGTGGTCTTGAAGATTGGGGAGACTGCGGCGGAGACGCGTGACACGGCAGAACTGCCGACGGGTTTCCGGACAACGGGAGCAGCACTCATCGGAGGGGGTGTAGTAGAGATGTTGCTTGTGCCGGCCTCTTCGGAAGGCTGAGGACCCGGAGCCGCGTTGCGCCGTCTCCTCCTCCAGAACCACTATGCCAAAGCACCGCCTAATATAGCCACCACAGGGACTGCAACGCCAACGCCAATCTTCACAGAGGAATTATTACCGGAGTGGTTAATATCAAGGCTCGCGGGAGATCTATTCGGGTTTACAAATAAGGTCGACGTCGCGTGGATGGTTACTAGAATCGCCATCAGTTAGCGCTATTACCGCCTATTAAAGACACAGGTACAGTACCTGGAGCAAAAGTAAAGGCACCGTTGCTATGAGCAGCATGAACTTACCCAGCGACTTAGTGGCCCCCGCGCCTCCCTTGGTGGTCTGGGTAACAATCGTCAGCTGCGTCGTCATCTGCATAGAGCCAGAGTTAACCGTGCTGCTGGGCTACGCATCGGCGCTATAGCTATTGCTGCTGCCCGTGGATAAAGGCTCCGACTCTATTATTGCCTCAGCAGGGTTGTACCAGTCTGTGGCACCGGGTTGTGTAAATCCGGCACCTATACAGTAGGATCTATAGATGGACTGTATAGAACTGAGGTTAAGAGTGAGGTCGCCCCTGCTGTATATTGACGATGTACACTTGGATATCCAGTTGTCTGCGATAGATGCAGACGCGGCTGCTGTTGCGTAATAGTAATTATTCTCGTAGGGGTTGTTACAGCCTATGGTTAAACCTATGTCGGTGAGTATAGTATAGTATAGATATTTACTGATATACTTATGGCTGCTGGTGTTAAGAATATCTGAGATGGTGACTGTCTTAGCAGCCGTTACGGAGGACTGCAAGAGAAGGAGAAGAGTTAAGAAGAGGGGTAGACGGCGTGCTATTTTCTTGAGATTTGGCTTTTCACCGAGACCAGAAGAGTTGATATTCAGGTGAGGGAGTTGTTACCATAAGGTCCGCGGCAACAAGAAGCTAAGGAAGAGAAGCAAAGCAACACAATAACGGCGAGAGTGGGCGGTTGAAAGAGGCCATGAGGACCCGGCTGTAAGACGCGCCTTCATGCGGGCCATCCATTGGGCCGCCTCTTGGTGCTTCATAATCTTCCAGTTATCAATCCAGTATGGTATAGCCTAGTCGAGGTGGCAGGCAAGGAAGTGATGTGCGGGAGGAGTACCCAGGATGGGTGTCGTTGGGTCGAGGATTTCAGGGGTGGTCAGCATCTCATTGGTCACGGTCTGGGGATAAAACTGCACCAAGTCCCCGAAGGGCATGAGATGATAGAATTTTGCTGGGGGCCGGAAGCTAATCATGGACTTGAAACGTCTAATTCTGCAAGTGCGGTGGTCTCGACCAGTGGGACATGGCCTTTGCGGGTTGAGAGCCAGGGAAAGCCAGCTGAGTTGGGACGATCTTTTTCTACCCGAGCGGTAGGAACAAAATGTGGAAATGAATGAGTGTAACGTGGATACGCGGAGAAGAATTGGGACGATCAACTTTGGTGGGCAAGTGCATATAGACGGCATTTGCAGCAGCCCTCTGCGGGTCTGCTAGGAGCCAGGCGCAAATTTGAGACGAGGATGAGATGCAGACACGCCAATGCGGGTGTTTAGAAGTCGCACCAGCCCAAGGCGAGGAGCGGACCGTCACATGGCTTGAGCATCCCCAGAGGACGCCAGTGCGGGAGGTGGTCTCGTGGTCGGAAAGCGTTTCCAATCAGGTATCATCGCCCCCGCGCCACTCTTCAAGAGAGGCACCAGATGTAGCCACCATCCCCGACGTTGTCTGTGGTCAAGAGAGATTTTAAGGTCGAGATATACTCCGGAAGCTAAGAAACCCTAAGGATGGCAACGAGGCGTTGCGACAAGCCAAACTCTTACATAAGTAAGGTCCGTGATCCACTAGGTAGTTTTGGTTGGAAGTCAGGGATGCCGGTGGGAGAGATGTGGGAGATGTGAGAGGTGGGTTTTGAGTGCAGCATGCAAATGTTTGAATGTGGTCGCTGGGCTTCGGTGCGACTAGTAGCGCAGCTCAGCCCGGCCAAGATCGTAGATGCCGCGTTGCCGCTACACCAAGCCTAGAGCGCTTGGCTGTGAAGCGGGAATAAAAACGTGCAACGGTCAATGCCAGGGCGAAATGATACACGCTGATTCCCATTCTTGAGAAACTGACAGGCAGGTTGGCCAGCCTCAAGTTTCGCGACGGTGGCGCGTCGAGCAGAACGATTTCGCCTATTAGGCGACTCGCGAGTAGTTTCAGCGTTCCTCCGATCCAATTCGCGTAGTGCGTTTCTCGTCAAAGATATTTCCGACAGATTGTCCCAGAATCTAGCGGGCGGGAAAGCAGGATGGCTGAGTTTCGGCTTCTTCGATGAACGGTGCGCAGCGTCGGTCGGCGGCGGGCTCGAGCATGAGAGACGGCGTTTGTGGGAGGTAGGAGTGGCTGACTGGATAAATGGAGGACTCTGTGACGTGACCATCCTCAAGACTTGAGCGCCGGAGAGCCTCGACGGATAGATGCAGTAGAAGACCAATATATGTCCACACGTTTGGGACGGGAAGTTGTGCGATATCGCCCCGCGTTGCGCATTTAGTAAAACTCATGTGCACGACATTTGCACGGTGATGTATCCGAATGTGGCTTTCTCGATATCACCCAATGAGAGATATGATATGCCACTATCCCAGAAGAGGTGGTATAAAGTGGCACCCCAGTTGCGCCACTACCTTTTAAACTAGCCAAGTTTCTTTTAATTCTAGCCGATTATTATATTACCTTGCTGATTAATAAGTCTAGGCTAATCTATATAGTATATTAATCCCTTTAATTAATTTT